AATACCTTCGATCGTACACTAATTTATTTGCGTAAGGAAACAGCTTGTAGCATTTCTTTCCATTTCGAAGGGAAAGTTTGTTGGAAGCAATTCGTGAAATGGTCTCGCCGGAAACCGAAGGAGGATTGCCGCGTGGAGAAGAATGTTGAATTGTGTGAAAAATTCCTCAGCTCGCCGTCCTGCGACCCCGATGAAACTGTGCTAGGCACAATTCGACAGTCTTTCCTACAAGTCATTCGGTTCCCGGTGAGACCAAATCACGAATTCCTTCCAACCAACTTTCTCTTCAAAATGTAGAGTCATGCCACACTATTTTATAAAGTAACTCTTCGAAACCCAGTTTTTCTTCATATTTTTTAAAGAAACAGCTTCCACCGAACACATTACGGTTCGGGAAGTTAACTTCACTCATTTGCAAGCATGTAGAGTAAGGATGAAGTAGACAACCAAATCAAGGGAGGCCTCATTAAGATCACGATGTTATACGTATAAAAGGCGATTATGGCTGCAGCCAGCCACCTTTTTCTCTTCTTTTAGCATATTTTTGCTCTATTTCGTAAAGTATGGAATCTTGCCCTGATGATGTCTGTCAGGGTGGTACAGACGAAAGCTTAGCACAGTTTCATCGGGGTGTCAGGACGGTGAACTGAGGACTTCATTGTACAATTGAACAATCTTTCTTACGCGACAGTGCTCCTGTTTCCGGTGAGATCACATTGTGAATTCCTTCCAATCAATTTTTCCTTCGAAATGGGAAGTCACGTCAGAACATAGCATTAAGGAATTCTTCGAAACCCAGTTTTTTTTCACATAAGATTGCATAAATCCCCACTTTCGTCAATGTAACGAAGATACAGAGGGCACCTGCTTGCCTAGTAGAGAACGCTCAGCCCCATTTGGTGAATGGCTTTCACGCTTCACGTCGTCTGCTGATGATGGGTCCGACCAAGATCTCTTTAAGCGAGCCTGTTTTTCGCTTCTCGGTCAAAAGTGAAAATAGTCGCGAAAATGAGGGCGCATCACAGTAGCGGCAACCGCCATATCGCCTGTCTCTTTGGAAATGAATACTTTGCATATGCATTTGGTGCATGTGCTTAAGCACACCAAAAAGAACACACGCACCTATGCAAATCCCCACCAAACAACACGATTTGTAGTGAATACTCCAGATGGCTTCTTGCCTCCCAGTCGGACGGCCCTTCTGCCTCGGCCATTCTACTTCGTGCCGTCGTCCTAATTCGCACTTGGGTGTGACCTTCTTGCCTCATCTAGAGGGCCGGTAGAGGGATTGAACTTTGACCTGCCCCACCTGCGTCTCAGGTCGGCTGGAAAGTGAACTTACATAATAATTACATGTCTGCACTCTCGAGTTAGGCGCCGCTAGCAAATTGGGAGAGTGCCTTCTTTGAGCTATTTCGTCCGGTAGTTGGCCCTCTCTTAGCCCCGAACCAGCCTAGTTCTATTTTAGTCCAAATTTCGCATCATTTCGTTTCTTTATTACAGACACCCATCACTTGGCTTAATAAAGATATCTATTAACTCATTTCTTAACTTGTTGATATATTTTTGTTCTCCAACTATTCTTCTTTGGCAAGGGGTGAGCTAATTAATTATCAAGATTTTAATTGTGGAGGAAATTTTTTGTTGATTTGTATTTCAGGGCAGTTAGGGCAGACTACAGAGAAAAGATGATTTTGCTATCGGAGTTCAGGGTTTCCTTCTATTAGGAAGAGTATTCTTCTAAAGAATAACCCACTCTTGACTTGATTCAGGCCTTTTTAATAGGAGTGGACATGCCAATGAGATAAGATGTTTATGCCCGCGCATTCGTGTGACTAAACTTGACAGCATCAGCGAATATGGGGTAATTGGTGATTGGACATGAGTGGATTATATTTTTATAGTACAATATAGTACAATTCTATAGGATCAATGGAAACTGACGAAAATAGCAAAACTGGGTTTCGATTGATATCCTAAAATCACATTCTTGTCAAGACTTTCATTTCGTATGAAAGTGCATGAAGAAGGGATTCAAAGATCTATCTCACCAGAGGAGGACGACTGAATCCCGTTGTACTGCAGCCGTTTGGCTTTTATACGACGTTGAGATTCACACAATCCAAGCGACCTCCTTTCTCGTTTCAAGTGAACACGGGATGAGCTTTCGTCCATCATATGATGGATATCATCAGAGCTGGAACTCATTCTTGAAAAAGTCTCAAGTTAACCTTGAAGCAAGAAGTATTAACATGAGATTTTTGCAAGAATGAATTCCAGCTCTGATGATGTATATCATATGATGGACAGAGGCTCAGCCCGTGTTCACTTGAAACGAGAAAGGAGGTCGCTTGGATTGTGTGAATCTCAACGTCGTATCAAAGCCAAGCGGCTGCAGTACAACAGGATTCATCCGTCCTCTTCTGGTGAGATCGAACAACCAATCGTGCACTTTGATATGAAATGAAAGTCTCCCCAATGTTGTTATGCAGCCATCTGACTTTACTACGATGTTTATGTTGACGTAGTCCATGAAGCTGAGCTTTCATCCCTCATACTACCCGACGGACATGATCAGAGCTGGAACTCATTCTTGCAACAGCTTCTTCACCTAGAGTCAACTTAAAGCCCTTATCTGATGATTGTGATATGACTTTCCAATTCAATGAAAGTTGGTCGAAAGGAATTCGTGAAATGGTCTCACCGGAAACCGAAGGAGGATTGGTGCGGAGTGAAGACGGTTGTATTGTGCGAATGAGTCCTAGGCTCACCGTCCTGCGATCCTGATTAACATGTGCTATGCTTTCGTTTGTACTGTGGCAGACATAATCAGAACAAGAACACATACGTTACGAAATAGAGCAAATGAAGTCCAGCCCTGAGGGGCATAACTACCTGAAGGGAAGGCTAAAGGAACTTTAATGGTATCGTGAGTCCCACTCGTTGTATTGTGGGCAAATTCACTTATCAGCCATTCTTCATCTTATACAATCTGGAGTAACCACAGCCCGTGTTTTAGCTCCAGTTTGCCCTGGGTCCGCGGGTAAACTCCAACATCGGCACTTCTCAGAAGGCCTGGTAATCGAAAAGGTCTTGTACACTTGTAACACGACAAACTTTTGTGATGCTCAGTAAAGGTCAACGGTTAAGATGGTATCCTATGCCATACTTTGGCTGACCCGTTTGTTGCGTAGGCAAGTGCACTGTCAGCTGTGCGTTGAGATTAGGCTCGCTCTTTGTCGGTCCAAAATACCGTATGTAGGTATTCATTTGTGCTTGTGTAATGAGCATCTTCTTTGTGAAAGGCACCTGCATGCGTGCTTGTAGAACAGACATCCTCTTAGCCTATACCCCCCAGAATCAGACTCAAATGGTTTCAGTTGTTTTCCGAAATATCTCGTTTGCCGCCTGGCTTTGTCAGTTGTCTCGGGGCCTCTGGATGCGGGTGTATTGTTTGCGTCCGGGCGGGACGAACAAGGTCACTACTCAGCGGCCTAGTGTTTGGCATATTTGGTTAGGGCAAAAGTGTATGAGGGGCATAAAAAGGCCAGAAAAACTACGACGATCGTCTGACTGAGGCTTCAGCTTTGGCACCGGCTTGAATGGAGTCAAGTGAGATAAGTCAAACTTTTAGCAGGGCTAGGCTGAACTGAGCTGAGCTGAGTTGAGCTGAGCTGAGCTCAGCTGAGCTGGGCTGAGGAAGCCTGACTTAACTAGCTGGCGAGGCTCTCTTCGCCGAGCACCACTGAGTTTGCATAACTTGGCTTTGTCTTTCTCTGCCAGGCGTTCGCGAAAGAAGTTCCACTGTCAATCCTGCACATTTAGAGCATGCCAAGGGTCTATAAATATTTGTCAATTTGTCACCATGATGCAGGAGAGTTTCGGTCAAAATGCTTTGAATGTGAAAGATTCTCTCGTCCATAGCATCTCACCTCAGGACGCATTTTTCTGGTCATTTTGTCCATTACTCACATCACTTTGGACGGCTTTAGGTGAAAGTTTGGTTGTTTCCTATGGTTGCAGGAAGGATAGAGACGCAAAGCCAAGGCAGCTACATGAAAAGGATGCCTTAAAATTGACAATAGGTAAAAAAGCAATGTAAATATGCGAAAAGAGATTCAATCCTACTAAGTTGAGTTGGGCAATATAGGGATTATATTGGAGTTTTTCCCATTATCCGAGTATTGTCTATAAAGAGGTATTTTCATCAAAATACAGAGAGCAATTGGGTTTCGATGAGTCTCATTACATAACATTGTTGGGGAGACTTTCATTTCGCTAGATAGTGTATGAAGAAGATATTCGAAGGTTGATCTCACCAGAAGACGGCTGCTGGTTCGCATTCTACTGCAGCCTTTAATAGAACGTTCAGTTGACAGTCCACGGGACACGCTCCTTCGTTTTGGGTGAAAACGGATTGAGTTTTTGTCCGTCATATGATATTCATCCTCATAGCTGTAACTCATTCTGGCAGAGGTCTCACGTTAACCCTATGAGAATGTATAAGAGGTAAGATAGAGGCGGATAGTCTTCTTAATCTAATATTAACGTGAGACCATTATAAGAATAAGTTCCAGTTCTGATCATATCCACCATATGATGGGCGAAAGCTCAGCCCGAAACAAGGGATTAGGTCTCGTGGACTGCGTCAACATGAACGTCGTATTAAGGCCAAATGGCTGCAGTGCAACGGGATTCAGTCGTCCTCCTCCGGTGAGATCGACCTTCGAATCTCTTCTTCATGCATGTTAACACGAAATAAAAGTCTCCCCAACAATATCATTTCACAAACATTGACAGACTAATAAGATGTACCTTACAAAAAGTACAACTATATACTAATCCAAGACAAAAAGAGCTTATCACAATCCAGCAGCCTGCACCTCGTGCCAATCCTGCTTCGGTTTCAGGTGAAACCAGTTCACAAATTCCTATCAACCCACTGTCCCTTCGAAATTGAAAGTCGAGTCACACTAACTCACATCATCAGTATTTGCAGCAGCAAATACATGTTGCCTCATCCAGGATCCCGCTATACATGCGACTTGGGATTGGCTTGACTTGCCGTGAAGGTCACATCTGCCCAGTGATCCATTGACCTCTGTGGCTTGTTAGTCGATTGGCAGCGTTTCACCACGCCCATCACTACCCGGTTTCAAATCTCGTTGGGGGTGCTGAGGGGACGGGGAGGCGAGGTCGAACCTGAGGCTGAGGCTGGATGAGAAAGCATTCTGTGCGGAAATACCAGATGAAATCCACCACCATCTCGGCGCCTACTCATTTACATGTGGGAAGAACTGTGAAATCCTTCCTTAAATTATCTCAAGCGGCCGGAAATCAGAAGTGGAATTGTGATCCTGACCAAATGAGTTGAAGGTAAGCTGGTGCCTAAATCATAGTGTCAATATTCTTGCAACAGTTCAAATAGCCGCCTAACAGCTACTTGATTTAATATGAGTTTAGTTTCGAGGTCTACTTAACTCGAAAATACTTGGCTTTAGCGTTGTTAGGGCATAACATGACCTATCCTGACGACGGATATTTGCACGATATAATCACACTTGGCCCGTGGCCACTACGCCTGATTATACTAAGGCTTGACTTGACATGATTATGGGTGACCTATCAGATAATTGCAGTTAGTGTGAGGCTGCGGCTGCCAACGTATGGCGGCCTAGAGTGTTAGGTTGTAAAAGTCTGAAAACAGACACACTAGCATAATGTACATATACAGACAAGCGCTATTGCATGAGCTTTTGCACTACTATGCTCGAGTCATCTGCCCCTTCAAGCACTGTGTGCCATGCTCTGATAGCTGTTTTGCGATTTTCGAGCTAGCAATACGGAAACTGGGGATGTTCATTGTTAGCGATTACGTTATCGGAGAAAAGAAGGGAACGACTCATCCTCGATATAAG